TGTCGTCTTCGTGTCGTCTCTCGTCTGGACACTTCTCTCTCTGGTGCAGTAGATCGTGTCAGTGTGCAGGAGCTGTTCGGGGGTCAGGGGCGTTGGGTCGCGGTACAAGGTCAGCGCAGACGGGAGGAGGTAAATCTCTGGAGCAGTGACCTCTGTGTGACAGGGCTGTCCGTCACACGTCACCAAGCACCACCCCCACCACCCTCATCTGTGTGTGAGGAGGAATGGAGCTTTCACTGCTGTGAGGAGCACCACTCTTAAACATGTGTCTTCTCCACTGTCACTTTAAACACAACCTGACTAACCTCTCACAATATGATGATCATGGTCTAAACCAGGACTAAACCAGGTCTAAACCAGGACTAAACCAGGTCTAAATCAAGACTAAAACCAGGACTAAAACAAGTCTTCACACCGACAGTATTTGGTGTGCACCAAACGGTCCATTTGAACCAAAAGTGGTCAGTTTGGTTCATTTGTGTTGGTGTGAAACCTTCAATTGGACCCGAACCAAACCGAGACCACCTCTTTTTTGAGGTCTCGGTTCGCTTGAATCCGCACCAAATGACCAACTTTGGTGCGGTTCCTCTGGAGTGAACGCGAACTCTGGTCCAAACGGACTATTTGAAATGCATCATGGGAGGGGATACGCGTCTCCTCTGCCTGAAATGACGCAATATACGGCTTCGGCGACTCCAGCACAGTAACAGATTGTTTTCCAGACGCAGCCGCGATTCATTTCCGAATTATTTTGCCAACCATGGCCAATACAGAGAATGTAATACATGGTGATCAGAGCAAGAACCAATGTGCGAACATGTGGCTCCAGAGTGAGTCCAAATTCTGAGTGCGTACCCCTGTTCGGGACCTACACACTCAGAGGCCCCGGTGTTCCCCGTGATCACACAGCAACCAGCATGTTATTTTAGACTATTAATTAACCAAATAATTTCATGGCAATAGGCAATAGCCTATTCCAGGGGTGATCAGAAAACTCATGTCATATAAACCCCAAAATAACAATAAGTTCAAATATTTGTGCAGAGAAACGCAAATCTATTACAGAAATCTTTTTTAATTGATGAACTCTTTCTTCTTTTAATATTATATAATATTATGAACAATCTGAAACTTTAATAAAATTCAATTTCAGCACAATGTTTAACATGAACTTGTTTGCAAACAGGAATAAGTCCATTTTTGTTGGAAAATCCTGCACTCGGCTCCACTTTTCTCATGTTGGACATTTTTCTGATGAGGGTGTCACGGTCAACAGTCAAAACGATCGTCCTTTCAAGAGCGTTTGGAAAGAGACAAGTCTTCATTTGTGCTGCTCTGGTGGGAGGGGCCACGTACAGAGACGCTGGAGACGCTGCTGTGATAAACACCACAGAAAATTAACAAGATTTTAATAGAAAATAAAATTCAAATATTTTAGTAGAAAATCACCCAAGGGCCACATTAAAGGTCTTGGGGGGCTTATGTTTGACACCTGTGGCCTATTCTTTTGATGCAACTTCAAAATGTCCTGTTTTTAGCCTCGCCCGTGGTATTAACTGGGAACATCGTATTGGTAATTGGAGGCATCGCTGTTTTCTCGGGAAACAGAGGCACATCAACCGGACCAATTTTGGTTCGTTTGTCGGTGTGAAAGCGGACCACTCTGGAGGGGATTTGCTACATAGTAACTCTTTTATTGCCTGGTGCAGAGCAAATAATCGAACTAGCGGTGTGAAAACGACCTAAACCAGGACTAAAACAAATCTAAACCAGGACTAAACCAGGTCTAAACCAGGACTAAAACCAGAACTAAACCAGGTCTAAACCAGGATTAAAACCAGATCTAAACCAGGATTAAAACCAGAACTTGTGAGGGTTCTCCCTGCTCCTCCTCCCCTCCTTTCCCTGCTCTCTCTCTCTCTGTGTATTTACTTACCTTATTTGGCATTTCCTGGGCGGGGCCCCAATCATGCACCTGCTGAGCTCCACTCCTGTTCTTCATCAAGTAATCATCTCCTGCAATAAAAGACCTGCTGACCTGCTCTCCAGTGCCTGATCGTTCCGTCAACCAAGTGGTGAACAACTCAGGCTTTTTGTGTTTTTTGAGCATTTCAGAAGATTTTTGACTCTTACCCGTTTTCTTTTATCCGTTCCCCAGTTCTTCCGTTTTGGAGCCAGTCTCATCCCGTTACCACCAGTTTCTGTGAGCCTCCGGTCAGCCTCCATCTCCACAGACTTCCCATCTGCAGCCAACCCAGACCCGTCCTGCCTCCCCTGGAATCTATCCCCCCGCCAAGACTATTGTGTCCGACCAGTGATTCTTTAACAGAACTAAACCAGGACTAAAACCAAATCTAAACCAGGTCTAAACCTCTAGACTATTTATTTCAAGGAAGACAATTTGGCTACATTATAGGTCAGATCTGTGGAGTGACACACATACTATGATTTTTTTTATTAAGTACAGCTACAATTTAGTTTAAAATTCATATAAATTGCAAAAATCTAAGCTGGATTTGATATATATAGTTTTAATATTTCAATAACAGTTTGTACATTCATGGTGAGACAGAACGTGCTCACACTTCAGACGCTCCACACAATATTCACAGTGAGTAACATGTTGGAAACGAGACACTGTTGGAAAAATACAGAGAGTTTGGCTCCTTTAACATGAGTAACATCATCATTTATACAAGAGAGAAATCCTACAGTTTAGTTCATATATTTACGTCAGTATTTACACGTGAAAACAGCTCCAGGTTTGGTGCAGCGTCTCGACGGCTTCACTGAACAGAGCCGAGCGCGACATCAGCACCAACATCACAGTCAAACTCAAACGCCCTTTATCAAATCTGCATCAGCGCTTCTGGAGAACTTAAAGAGACAGTGTGTAACATTTATCACATTTATCTTAGGCTACGTTTGGATTGTTTTGGTGAAATCTGATGTTTTGCGAGCTCGTTCACATTTCCAATTAAATGTATTGTGACCAAACGTCCGTTTTTCCCCGGACATGTTCATATTTTGCGTCCTGTCCTGGGCTTTTTTTTTTTTTTTTAAAGTGATGCAAATGTCCGGGTTTTCATTCCCGTTCACTGGGGGCATTAAACTGAGCATTTCTCGTAGCGTCTGTGACTCAGAAGGAGCGAGACACAGTCGGTCAGAATGCAACATACCGAAGAGGAAATGCGCATTTAACAATGACTTGTACAAGAAATTCTGTTTCCCATCCCGGTCAAGACAAGTGGGAGTCCATGTGCACAGGTTGTGAGGTGAGAGTACAGTGTCCCTCGTTTATCATTGGGGTTACGTTTTAAAAATAACCCGCGAAGTATCAACTTTATATTTTACAATGATTATATCGGTTTTAAAGGCGGTAAAACCCCTCACCACACTTATACACTTTTTTTTCCAGACAGGACACTTACAACCCTTTTTACATCCTTCTTAAAACTTATTGCTGCTATCGTCCTTTTGTTATTTTCCTCCTTTTATGTAACGAACCCAAGATTCATTCCGTAATGGAGCTACAGCGCAGAGTCCTGCACGGGTCCATTTTTGGAGACCTGCAGTACAACACTGCACCTGCGCAGTACAGGACCGCACCTGCCCGTTAACTCGAGATTATATCAAACTTTTGCGCTGCCTACGCCACAGACTGAACCAAGACTAAACCAGGACTGATTCCAGGACTGAACTAGGACTAAAACGGGACTAAACCAGAACTGAAACAGGACTCATTGTCGGGACGGGCTCGGAGGTGACCGCAGGACAGTCCGCTTTGCAGACAAACTGCTCGGCGTTCTCTCTTAAATCCAAGATTAGCTCCCTTACCTCCCACCCCCGGTAAGGTTTCCGGGTTTTCACTAATGCAAATATGGTCACCTTAATTAAATGTGACTTGTATGTGACTCCAGTGTGAACATTAAACGGCCCAAAAGTGTCCCGCATGTGACACTGGAGACACGACGACGTCAACCGCAGCGAGCGTCTCTGTGTTTACAGAAGTTGTCCAAACATGGACGCAGCATCGAGCACCTGGAGATTTTAAAGTTCCTCTCGTACCGGAGCCAGAACATGAACAACTTACTTGTTTTAAGGAGGAGATTGAGAAGGAGAAGGACGAGGTTTTTGGCCGTGGTGTTTTGTGGTTCAGTCCGTTGAAAGGAACGTGTGGATGTGGAGACGTAGCCAAGACAGGTGAGTGGTGATGTGCTTCACTTCAGTGACACGGAGTTCATTAACAATTTGCCTACTTTAGCGCAGAATAGTGACATTTGTGTCTTGTTGATAACATGTAGGTCGAATGAATGCGCTTTGGTCGTTCACACTGAAGTCACATGTCAAAAGATCAGATATGTATCAGTTTCAGGAGCACATATCCAAGTGTCAGTGTTCATTTGAAAAAAATCGGATCTGTGTGGTTCAGACTGTCACTAAAAGATCAGATACAGGAACATAGGGGCCAAAAAATCTGATTTGGGTCACTTCAGGCTGCAGTCTGAACACAGCTTTAGTATTTTGTGGGTGAATTACTCGGCGGCGCAAAGACCTACATCAGAGTATCAGTGTTTTCAGGTGTCCACACAGTGCCGGATCAGATTTGTACGAACAGGAACACCAGATCGTTCCGTCTCTGTAGCCGTTTTCCATCACATTAGTGTGAACAAACACTGCATCCACAACGAAAAAATGACTCAAATACACACTAGTGTGGACAGGGTCTTAGAAAAAAAAACCTAACCTCTCTATGAAGACAAGCAGATGACAGACCCTCATCAGAAAAGTTACAGTGTGGTTTTAAGTGTCAGTCGTATTTTCAAATTAAGTCCAAAATGTGTTGATACTGATTGAGCCTCTACAGCTGTGATAAGTTTTAGCTCCTTTCACTTGGATAATCAGGTCAAATAGTGTTTTTATAAATGGTAAATTGTAAAACCGCACACTGTCCCTTTAAGTTCCCCTTTAACCTCCCCTTGAATCTTCTTTGCTCGAGTTCAGCACTGCTCCTCCCCGAGTGAGTCCGTGTTGTCCAGCTCCAGGGGGGGTCTCTGCGCTCTGGCCTTGCCCCGGCTCGGTGCAGCGTCGGCGGGCACGGGCGGGCTGTGGCTGGGGTAGACCTCCACGGCTCCGGAGATGGACTGCAGGGGGCGCTCTCTGAAGTAGTGGAAGGCGTCCGGGTCCAGGTACGTGTGCTCCTCCCTCAAACCCTGCTCGAAAAGTTTACGTTTGTGTCGGAACTCGATGACGGTTTTGGTGTAGGAGTTGAGCGTGGTGACGGAGGCCGACATGCAGCAGGTGAACGACGCCCACGCCAGACTGAACACAAACAAACAGACAGACCAAGAGCTCATTCGTTTTTCAAAATAAAACCAAAAATAAGAAAACAAAAACATAACTATTTTCTTCATTATTTGTTTTCAAAGCCAAAATGAAAAAACGGAGAACGATTTGTTGGAGTTGCGCCCACATAGACCGTCAGGTGATCAGGACTGAGACCGGGACCAAACCAAGACCAGTTTAGTCCTGATTTAGACCTGGTTTAGTCCCGTTTAAGTCCCGGTTCAGTCCTGTTTTAGTCCAGGTTTACTCCTGTTTCAGTCCCGGTTCAGTCCTGGTTTAGTCCTATTTTAATCCTGGTTCAGTCCTATTTTAGTCCCGGTTCAGTCACAATTTAGTCCCGTTTTAGTTCTGGTTTAGTCCAGGTTTGGTCCTGGTTCAGTCCTGGTTTAGTCCCGTTTTAGTCCTGGTTCAGTTGTGGTTTAGTCCTGTTTTAGTCCCGGTTTAGTTCTGGTTCAGTCCGGCATTGCAGCTTATGTCACGGAAAACGGGAAACAGTTATCCGTTTTTTCCATTATTTCCACAAAATCGAAAACTGATAAAACAAATTGTTTTGTTTTTTTGGTTTTGGAGACAGATAATGAAGAAAATTGTTGTTTTTTCATTTTCTTATTTTTGATTTTATTTTGAAAAATGAATGAACCAATGATACAGATTTTTCCTCATCACAAAAATACCTGGAGTTGTATTTTGTTTCATTTACACATTTAAACACTCAAAACTAAATTCTGCTGTGGGCCTTTTAACTGCAACCAAAAAACGTGACCACTTTATCCTGATGATGACGATGATAGTAGTAGTAGTAATAATAGTAATAGTAGTAGTATACGGGGAGCAGTAGGAGTAATAGTACTAGCAGCTGTAGTGAGTGAGTGTGGTGCGTTCACTGACCAGAAGGACCATCCGTAGTCCCAGCTGTGCGGCCTCCAGTCCTCAGGGCCCAGACTCACAGTGATCTGAAACACCTGAGTGTACATCATGTGAGCCACCATCCCGAGCAGCCCTGAACACAACACAGTCATGAAAAATACACACAGCCCTGAACACAACACAACAGTCATGAAAAATACACACAGTCCTGAACAGTCATGAAAAATACACACAGCCCTGAACACAACAGTCATGAAAAATACACACAGCCCTGAACACAACACAGTCATGAAAAATACACACAGCCCTGAACACAACACAACACAGTCATGAAAAATACACACAGCCCTGAACACAACACAACACAGTCATGAAAAATACACACAGCCCTGAACAGTCATGAAAAATACACACAGCCCTGAACACAACAGTCATGAAAAATACACACAGCCCTGAACACAACACAACACACAAAGAAATGCAAAATACAAGCAGACCTGAACACAACTTATGATACAACAAGGTAATGGAAAATACAATCAGACCTGAACACAACACAGAGCCTCACTATTATGACAGATCTGAGAGAAACTGTAGTACTCGTCCTGTAGGAAGGTACAATCCATGAACAACCTCCACTCAAACAACACAGCCTCACAGAAAGAAGGTTCCGGGTTTAACTCCCTGGCCAGTCTGTGTGGCGTTTGCATGTTCTCCCCGTGTTTGGGTTGGTTTCCTTTGGGGATTCCAGTTTCCCCCATCAACCCAAAACATGGACAACTTCAGCTGATGTTGACAATATTCCACAGGGGGGAGGTTCTGCTCTGTCTGAAGCTCTGTCTCTGTTCCTCAAGTTCAGAAACATTTTCAACCTAAATAAATGTTTGTCCAGTTGACTGAATTTCTCCTTTGCCGTGGATTCTACCTGGACGACTGAAGGATTCTACACACTTATTTGGTTTGTGAATGTGTGCATTGCTTCACTATGGTAACTGCTGAACTTTCTGCCATAGACATTCATGAAGGTTAAATCCTCCAGCTAAAGTAGGTCTGACCAAGACTAGCTCAAGCAGTGTTGGGAGTGTTACTTTTAAAATGTATTCCCCTACAGATTACAGATTACATACACCAAAATGTAGTCTGTAACAGAATCCATTAAATTACTTGGAGTAATGTAATCTGAATACTTTGGATTACTTGATATTGTTGTGCTTTTAAAAACTACATGAATGTAAAAACCACAGCCTGAAAATTGTTTGTTCTCTTCAAATTGTCTGTTGAGCCCAAGTCTCCATGAACAAGCAACTTTTTGCTGTAGAGAAACAAAGACCAGGACATTAACATAAGATGTTTTTTTTTGTCTGTTAAAAGAAAATAAAAAGTTCAGTCTTTACGTAAGCATATTAAAAATATTATTGATGGAAAAATGATTTTTATATGAAATCACTGCCGCCTGAAATTATGTCCACACTACTGTTAATGTCATTCGTCCCGGGTTTCGTCCTGGGTTTCCCCAAAATGTGAAAACAGGAAAATCCCGCCGTGTAATCCATTTATTTCAACAAAGTAATTGTAATCCAATTACCACGCACTGAAACAGTAACTATAACTGAATAGTTACTCATAATTTGTACTCTGATTACGTAATCCCGGTACATGTAATCTGTTACTCCCCAACACTGAGGTCAAGGTCTAGAGATGTTGTCCCAAAGACACTGAAGGAAGGTCAAATGTAGGACGAGTTTCCCTGTGAGTAGAGTGAACATGAACCTTAACTTAACCCAACATGTGTGTAAATTAACTGTTAAAGTTCATCATCTTTATCGCTCATGTTCTGTAATCGATCACAGCCGTAATCAGACTCATGATTGAAGTGTGATTGATCGCACAGCCCTGAGGATTACACTCAGAATCCAAACTTATCACACAGGTAACTTGGACTCAAATGCAACACAAGCGTGCAGGCAAACAAAGGCTTAACTGAACAGAAAGTGTCCTTTAACAGGTAATGATAAATTTGTTAAATACTGTATAAACATATCAGACTGACAACAACAAAGGAGTATATGATGTCAAACGTGAACGAAAATATCATCCAGAAACTGGGAAATAGTCTACAAGGAAAATAAGATGGGAAATAAACACAGAAGCAGGTGTGACCAACAAGGAAATAAATCAGAATTGCACTAAATGCAGACTACAGGGTAGAGAGATCCAGAGGTTCAGGGAAAGCTTGACTCCATGTCTCGACAGGTTGACAATCTGGCAGAGACTGAATGAGCAGAGGGAGTATATAAAGACTGGCCTGGGCTGATTACTGAATGAGGGGCAGCTGCAGGTAAAGGAGGGAGGTGGCAAAAGGTGGACCGGAAGAGACTGAGAAATGGAACTGGACTGGGGAAAACATGTAAACAAAAAGGCAGAACTGTGACAGAACTGATCTTTAAAGCTGCATTGTGGAACTTTTCTGGGGGAGTGTCCAAGGAGATATTCTGACTTGACACATGATATTAACAGCAGTGTTGGGGAGTAACAGATTACATGTACCAGAGTTATGTAATCAGAGTACAAATTATGAGTAACTGTATTCAGTTACAGTTACAGTTTCAGAGAGTGGTAATTGGATTACAGTTACTTTGTTGAAATAAATGGATTACACGGCGGGATTTTCCTGTTTTCACATTTTGGGCTAAACCAGGACTAAACAAGGACAAAACCAGGACTAAACCAGGTTTAAACCAGGACTAAACCAGAAGTAAACCAGGACTAAACCAGAAGTAAACCAGGACTAAACCAGGTCTAAACCAGGACTAAACCAGAAGTAAACCAGGACTAAACCAGAAGTAAACCAGGACTAAACCAGAAGTAAACCAGAAGTAAACCAGAAGTAAACCAGGACTAAACCAGAAGTAAACCAGGACTAAACCAGAAGTAAACCAGGACTAAACCAGGACTAAACCAGGACTAAACCAGGACTAAACCAGAAGTAAACCAGGACTAAACCAGAAGTAAACCAGGACTAAACCAGGACTAAACCAGAAGTAAACCAGGACTAAACCAGGACTAAACCAGGACTAAACTAAACCAGAAGTAAACCAGGACTAAACCAGGACTAAACCAGAAGTAAATCAGGACTAAACAATATGACACTAACAGTAGTGTGGACATAATTTAAGATGATCTTATATAAAAATCATTTCTCTATCAATAATATTTTTTATTTGGTTAAGTCAAGACTGGACTTTTTATTGTCTTTAAACAGACAAAACATTTTATTTTAAGATATTCTAGTCTTTGTTTCTCTACAGTAAATAAAAGTCTGTTCATGGAGACTTGGGCTCAACAGACAATTTGAAGAGAACAAACATGAATTTTCAGGATGTGGTTGGTACATTCGTGTAGTTTTAAAAAGCATGACAATATCAAGTAATCCAAAGTATTCAGATTACATTACTCAGTTTAAGTAATTTAATGGATTCTGTTACAAACTACATTTTGGGGTCTGTAATCTGTAATATGTAGGGGATTACATTTTAAAGTAACCTTCCCAACACTGATTAATGTTTGGTATTAAACCTTTCTATCTTCATGGAAACCAAACCAGACCAAGTTACAGGTCAGATCTGTGGAGAGGTGACCCCGCTGTGTCTGTTTTTCTAGGTATTTTTGAGCAATAAAACCTTGACTTGAAAAGCCTTTGGTTCTGTCATAAATGAAAGCGTTAATGATAACTTTTCTAAAATCAAAATTCAAGATTTGGAACCATTTACTGCACATGTTAATGCTGTAGATCCTAACATCAAATTCACCCGTGAAGATGCCAAGAACAACACTTTGGCTTTGTTAGGTTGTGCAGTAATGATAGGAGAAGACCGGCGACTCCAGGTTGGAGTACCTGCTTTTTGATTCTCACCACCCACTGCAACACAAACTTGGAGTTATTCAGGCACTACAACACAGGACTCAAGTGGTGCCTACAAGCACAGAGGGAAAGGAGAAAGAAGAACAACATGTGCACAAAGCCCTCTCTGTTTGTGGAGATCCAAAGTGGGCCTTTAACAAAACCGAGAACTAAAAAACAGGACAACAGAGAATCAGAACCCAGGAGAAAGGGGGGAACTATTCCTACATGGCTGGTGTTTCTGAAAAACTACAGAAGATTTTCAGTCAACATGAGATCCCGGTAAGACAGAAACTGGTCCAACCAAAGGACAAAACACCGAGCCACAAACAAAGCAACGTGGTCTACTCCATTCAGTGCAGTGAAGACGAGACGAGAGAGCAGCAGTGGACCTCAGTCTGCTGTACATCTCCACTTAAAAGCCACAGGCCACTCATTTGAGGACAGTGAGGTCCAGATTTTAGCCAGAGAGAAACACTGGTTTGAGAGGGGAGTGAAAGAATTCATTTTTGTTTCGAAAGGGAATCCTTCTCTAAACAGAAATGGACTCAGACACCATCTACCTCCTATTTACAACTCCATCCTCAAACCTAAATCAAAACAAACAAGAGAACAACAGGTGTAGTCAGGTCAGGTCCAGAGGTGTGGAAGCTCCATTATGGCCATGAATTGTTCTGTTAATTAGACCCCACACCCTGTACAGGTCAACAGGCCAAACTAACAAACAGAAACTGTAAACAAGTGTGTGTTAGTTTCAGTGTGGTTTGCTCCTCCCTGCAGATATAAGCAGTGTTGGGGAGTAACAGATTACATGTACCAGAGTTACGTAATCAGAGTACAAATTATGAGTAACTGTATTCGGTTACAGTTACTGTTTCAGTAAGTGGTAATTAGATTACAGTTACTTGGTTGAAATAAACAAAAAAAAGGTATTTTCCTGTTTTCACATTTTGGGCTATATCCCTTCCTTTTCTTTTTTTTTTTCTTCAGTAATTCCACTCATTGCCGGGCACTAAATCAGGTCTAAACCAGATCTAAACCAGGACTAAAATCAGGTCTAAATTAGGTCTAAATTAGGTCTAAACTAGGACTAAACCAGGACTAAACCAAGACTAAACCAGGTCTAAACTATGTCTCAGACAGGATTTAACAGGACTAAATCATGCCGTGTGGACGTGTCTCCTCGTCTTCTATCAATAATATTTTGAATTTGGTTAAGTAAAGACAGACAA